GTTGCAGGATGAAATTACCTCTAAAGGGCTATTTCCTGTCTGTAATCTCTTTGAATTTTTAACTGTGGTGTTTTTTATATTTTCTTCAGACATTGGTCAAGCAGACAAAGACAAGGTCAAGTATTTTGTCAAGTAGAAAAAAGATATGAATGCAAAAGGGTGAGGGAAAAAAAAAGCAAGCCCTCTGTATAAAGCACTTCAGACTACTTACGCAGCATATTAGAGAGCAAAAGGAGCTTTCTGGCTCCTATCTGGCTGTTGTTGCAATTGTTAATGTGGTTTTGTTCCATTATTAATGACACCAGAAAAAGAAATCAGGCCTTCCACACAAAGTTGAGAGACTGTCATCTGACATCTTCCAGCAAGAAGGAAGGAAAAAATGCTTAAAATAATGGAAATAAGCAAAGGGAAGGGGAAAGGAAACTTAAAATACTGAGCATATAGCAATAAAATCTGCAGATATCCATAGCAGTGCGGAGATTGTGAGCCAAATCTCTTACAAGCCTTGTAAATCATTGCCAGAGCGTGCTAGTTTAAGGCCACTTGGTAATAAACAAAGAAAAACTCATCTATTACAGTCTGTATTGTATTGCATGATATGTCCTTGTTTCCTAGAACTGCTGTTTGACAAGCAGAGAAAAGTAAAACCAGTAGAGCAGCACTAATGGATGAAACATCTATAACCTGGAGTAGTATATCATTAGCCTCATCTGGGTGTGGTTGGACAGGACTTTAATAAAAAGCTTTGTTAGGAAAATACATCATGAATATGCTAAGGTAAGTAAAATCAGGAATAACACTCCAATCTGGCCTTCCTGTAAAGTTACCCTGAGTTAGCTACCAAATTAGCAATCCCGCAGAAGTGTCAGGCAGGATGCATGCCTTTGCTCTCACCTGGCAGAAACAGCTCCATTGCTGAAGCCTTGCACTGATGCCCAAGCACCAAAGCCCACGACCTACACACCAGCTTATCCACAGCACATCCTCTTCATATTCCATCCCAACAGCAGGAGATACTTGCTGAGGCTCATCCCCCATTGCATTGGGGGTGCTGAGAGGCAGGCAGAGGCTGAGGGAACTCAGAGGGATCAAGCATCAAACTTAGATTGGCTGCTAATCAATTATACAGCTATCATCAGTACAAGACAAAATGACCTCAGGTTTTGCCAGGGGAGGTCTAGACTGGATATTAGCAAAAATTGCTTCTCTGAAAGGGTTGTCGAGCTTTGGAACAGGCTGCCCAGGAAAATGGTGGAGTCACCATCTCTGCAGGTATTTAAAAGACTGTAGATGTGGTGTTTAGGGACATGGTTGGTTTAGTGGTGGACTTGGCAGTGCTGGGATAACAATCAAGCTCGATGAACTCAGAGATTTTTTCCAACCTAAACGATTCTGATTCCTTGAAGCCAAGTGATTCTCTCTGTAGTCACTTGTTGATGGGGCTGCACCTCATGGTCCCCAGCGCCAGCCCCCACAGTGCAGCTTGTTATGGCCACACTCCTCCACAGGCTGCTAGCAAGAAGCCTGCCCTGAAAATACCCCCTGCCCTCCGCTGCTCCGCTTCCCTGCCACTGGGCTCACACCCTGCCCAAAGCACTCACCCACTGCCACCATTTCACACGGTGAAATGGTGTATTTCTGTTTAAGAGAAGCCTTATCTCTTTCAGAGGGAATGTTTGCACCACAGAGGAAAGGAGCACTGTTTCCAATGGACTGTCAAGGAGAAAGGAACCAGCCAGCTTTCAAATAAATATGGTTTATAATAGCTTGATTAAATGCTTTCTTAATGCTGGGCATTTTGTAATGTCACTGTATTTCTTGATGTGCAGTTTATCTTGGAAAAAACCAACTTCTAGATATTTTATAGTTTTCCCTTTAAAAAGAAGGAATCTAAAAGCTCTTTGCTGGTAATTATTGACGCCAAACACAAACACTCATTTCTTATCCCAGGACTGAACATTTGACCTATACTGCAGAGCCAAAATTCAACATTTGAGAAGAGCTCCAGATGTAGATTTCAATTTCATGACTCACATCTGTCTTTCCAATAGGGTGGATTAAATCCATGCAACCAGTTTGATACATTTCAAATAGGTGAAGTTCAATTCATTTTATATGAGCAGATGCCTCATATGTTGTGCTGCCAAAATAGGTCACTGGGCCAAAAGTTCAAAAATAATTTAAATAGAGGTTGAAAGAAATGAAAAAGTAAAATCACATTAAGTCACATCACCATGAGACCTTATTTAATGCTTTGAAGCACTTCCATAAAGTGATGGGATCAAGAAGAAGCTTTGCCAGTGGGAATCTCTTCCAGGGGAAGGGCTACACACTTTTTAATGTAATTTCATTTTCAGCAGTGACACCTGGGCATGATGTTGGCCTGATGAAGCAGAGGGGATTTGGCAAAGCACAGGAGCAGCTCAGACAGATCACAGAAGCTTCTTCAAATGCTTCTTGGGCTCTGGCGGGCGTGGTGCTGTGACCACTTCCTCGGGGAGCCTATTCCAGCACCCAACCACTCTCTGGGTGAAGAACCTTTTTTTAATATCCAAACTATACCTCTCCTGACATAACTTCAAGCCATTCCCTCGGGTTTTGCTTTTGGTCACCCCAGAGAAGAGATCAGTGTCTGCCCTTCTTCACCCCCTCAGAAGGAAGTCGTAGACTGCAATGAGGTCTCCCTTCACTCTCCTCCAGGCTGAACAGACCAAGTGCCCTCAGCTGCTCCGCATACAGCTTCCCCTCAAGGCCATTCACCATCTTCACTGCCCTCCTTTGGATGCTCTTCAATAGCTTGATATCTTTCTTATATTGCAGTGACTAAAACTCCACACCATATTCAAGGTGAGGCCGCACAAGTGTAGAGCAGAGCAGGACAATCACCTCCTTCAACTGGCTGGTGATGCTTTGCTTGATGCCAGATGGGGTGGAAGGTAAGCAATTCATAGCCTGCCTCTGAAGATTAAGTGCAAATGCACTTTCGTGCAACCCCAGCACCATGGCAGGCTGAAAAACCTATGTGAGATTATATATTTGAGCAGTATGTCCTCACTGGCCTCTCTCCCCCAGTCCCTTTATCTGACTCGCATTGCTGAAGCTCCAAGGGAGACACCAAAATTTGAGGAAGCTGGAGATTTTATTGCACCTGAATAAAATCTGGGCCCTGGAGGCCATGCAGATTGCACCCTCACTTAAGTCCTAGAAGTCCCCTTTAAGGTGTGCAAGAAGGAAGCTGTAATGCCATAGGGAGGTTTTCACCTGGCTGCACATGACAGCATCACACTTGGAAAGCCCCAGTGGGAGCGGGTCCCCCACAGCTGATCCCTGTGCAAGCCCAGCCCTACTCCTGCTCAGCCCCCTGCCAAGAGCTGTGCTTCAGCCACCCAGACCCCCATGGGACTCACCTGTCATCCTCACAGACAACCAGTACCGGGGAAACCTAAACTAGTCCATGCAGTGCAGCAGATGTGACTGCCCAGCACAGAGAGCTCTGGCAGATCCCAGCTGTACCTCTTCACCTGGGGCATTGACCTTTTCTCCCACCTGCCCTGAGGAGCCATTGCTGACCAGCACACTGAAGTGTGTTTCTTTCACCCACAATCTAAGAAAGAGAACTTGAGGAAAAGGAAATGTGAGGAAGAGGAGGATGGAAGACCTGCAAAAGGGCCATTCTGGTGTGTAACTCTTTCCCTGGTCAGAGGAGCGGCTCTCCTGGGGATGCATATGGCTTCTGGCAGCCATATATAAGGTTGCCTCTGAGCAAGGATGAATTTCAGGATTGGGACACTCTCACGTTTTCTAATCACGCTTCCCACTAACTCACACTGTTCTGTGCTTTTCTGAAAGGAGGACAAGGGAGTCTGGGAACCTTCGCCTGACAACAATGAAGGGAGAGAGAGCACCTGCACATGTGCTGGGTACAATGGGATGGGAACGAGTCTTATTTTCCAGCGTGGTCATCAAAGATGACTCCTGGAGGCAGAGATGCTGATGTCCAGTCCCACCGTCTTCCTTGCAAGATCACCAGGCTCTTCAGGGCAATAAAGTTAGTTTTAACACCTCGAAGAGAAATTTCCCGCGCAGATGCACAGTCATACCTAAAAGCAGCCTCCTCGGCCGGGTGTCCCGACCGCGGGCTCGGCTCTCGGCTCCCAGCTCCGGCGGGTAGCGTCAGGGCCGGGCAGGGCTGCGCGGCTCCGCGGCCGCCCAATCTCATTTCCCGGCTGGGCGACGGCCGGCGGCCGGGCAGTGCCTTCCCTTCCTCAACCAATTGCATCTCCAGCGCGGATCGGAGGATCGCGGGGCGTGAGGCGGGGGAGCGCCCTGGGGCCGGTGCGGGGGGGAGCTGGGAGCAGCCCCGGCGCCGCGGCGGGAGGGGGAGGAAGAAGTGGAAGGGAAAGCGAGGGAGAGGCCTGGGGCAGGCAACCCCCGGGGGCGGGCCGCGCCGGCCGGCCCAGACACTTAAATGCCACCCCTGGGGCATCGGCTTCTCGCTGATGAGACCGCTGCAGGGCTGCCGCGGAAGGGGCGTCGTCGTGGGGACCGTCACCCTCTGCCTGGCCGCCGGGTGGGCTCTGCAGAGTAAGTGTCCGACTCCGTCCCTGTCTCCCCCCGCTTCCTCCCCCACTCCTTTCCTCCTCCTCGCCTCGATACCCTAGCTCAGCCCCAGCGCCCGGCACCTGTTCGGGGCGGTGCAGAGCGCCCGCCGCCCCCCGCCCGCGGCCAGCGCTGTTCCCGACCCGGCCGTGCTCCCGGGAGCTGCTGGGGACGGGACATACCGGGACTCAGGCAGGCATCGCTACTTTCTGCGGGCTGTACATGGTCTGGGGAGGCTCGTCCCCTCTCTTGCTGCTCGGAGGGAGCTGGGGAGCCGAGCGGGGCCGGCCCGGGGGTGCAGGCCGGGCGGGAGCCGCGGCCGCGGGGGAGACGGGGGCGGCCCCGGGGGAGACGGGGGCGGCCCCGGCAGCCGCCCTGCGCCCCCTGCTTTTCCAGCAACCGAGGGAACAAGGCATGGAGGGGGAATCAAGCTCGGTTAACCAGTCCGAAGGGCGTCGGGTCACGCTGGGAAACGCGGCGGTGAGGAGAGAAGGTGGGTTCCAACCCAGCACCCCAGGATGGGTGAGTGGGGATGGGACAACTTTCAGAGAACCATCCTCGCTCTTCCAGCTAGCGCTGGAGGAGACTTCTGCCAACCCCACCCACCCCTGGGGACTGGGATGTCCGTGCCACCAGAGTTTGGTTTGGACATGGCACAACACTCCATCATCAGATGTGATGCACAAACAGGACACCAAAGGGTGGAGGAACTGTCCCAAGGGTTTCAGAGCTTTGTTTTAGAGCTGTCCCCCCAGTTTAGAGCTCCTGCGTGGAGGCCCCTCACTGCCAGCCCTTTCCCACCCACTCCCCAGCTATGGCCACTCTGGTACGCAGAGCCACACTTGCCCCTTTGACACTCGGCCAGGCAAATAATTCAGAGCAGAGCAGCATGCCAGGACAGCAAACTCACTGTGCTCTGAGCAGCACCGGTGCCCTCTTCTCCTGGGTGCATGTTTTACTGGGCGTGAAGGGTCTGGTTTTGCAAGCAGCAGAGCAGAGCGGCATGCAAAGGGCCCTGCAGGTGGGTGTGATGTTTGCTCTCCAGCCTGGTGCAGCTGTGCTGGGATTAGACCAGTTCAGGTGATCTAAGCACAATGCCTATTAAAAATATTTTTGAATGGTTAAATATCGCACTGCCTTTTGTAGCTTTGCATGCTGGATATGGACAGAACACGTTTGCAAATAATTCAATGGAAAGATGCCTCTATCAAAACAAAAGAGTCACTGAGGGCAGACACTAGCTCCTGTCTGGTCAGAAACAGTGGGAAAGGCCTTTAAATAAACACATGGAGCAGAAAACAATTGGAACAATTTGCAGCGATTACCAGAGGTTCCCGGCTGTTCTGTGTCTGTAGCTGGCACAAACCCCGTTTTCACAGCTCTGGTTAGTCTCTCCTGCACACAGGCTGAACAGCAGAAGATGCACTGGGCTGCCCAGAAAGTGTGATGATGTTCCTGCAGAGCGACTGGGCAGCATGATCATGACAAAGCCCATGAAGGGAGAATCCCAAAAGTGTTATCTTGGGAAAAGCCTAGATCTTATCTGGTCCCATAGGTGAGGACCTGGAAATCTAAATGGCTTCTTGAGCTTCCTTGCCTTACCTTGACCAGAAGATTTAGTGAATTTTGCTACATATCCCAAATACAGTGAAGTCAGCTTGTAATTAATTTACCCATGTCTTCCATTTCTGGTTGCTCATGGAGGGTTCTTAATTTAAGATTTTTAAATATATTTCTTTCCCTTGGAGATTTTTTTTCTTTGCCTTTTTTAATCATTCTTATCTCTGAGGACTCTGCAGAACCTCCAGGATCATCCCCAGGGGTCCTGCTTTGCACTCCTGCAGTGTAGCTAAGGGTCTCATTCTCACTCCTCACTGGGTTACAGACATTTGCAGGTCAGCATTACTTTTTCATTCTGCTCTTGAAGTCAGGCTGTTCCCACAGCGAGAGAGGAGAGTAAGTGAGCTGCTCCAAGCCAAACCAGGAAAAGGCTTTCAGCCTTACTCTGTGCTTTATCTGCCTTTTGTCTGCTTTGATTTTTGTGGAGAGATAACAGGATTTCAGCCTCTAGCCAAATGTCTCAAACATGCCACTAATAAAAAGAAAAAATGTATGCCAGTTGAAACTCAGATGTTGGTGTTCATCCAAATTTTCATGCAGAAACACCCACATGCAAGCAGAAATTATTGCTGTTACACATTAAACTAAGTGGTCAGTTCAGTTTCACAGCTCTGTAATCACATCAGGAGGAACTAGATGAGAATTAAATATTCTTTAATGTGCATTTTTGCCCGGACATCATCAGGAACGTGAAGTCCCTGGCTTCTCATGGAACTGCGTACCTTTGATTACATGCAGTTTATCTGTGCTGGCATATAACTGGCTGCCTGTAAGGAGCTCATGTCTCAAATGTTGATTACACATCCTGAAAACAAGACCAAGTCCTTGCTGAGTCTTCACATACTTACGCCTACTACAGTTCTTGCTTTTGGAGAATGGTAATTAATTAATATAATAGGTTACCTTGGACATGACAATTAAACTTTCCATCTAAATGCAGGATTTTAAAAGAAAGCCAGTTACCGATGAATACAAAAGTGTTGCTCAGTTTTCAGATGATGTTATGCTCCCTTATCCAAAAAGACCCTTCCAAAGTTCCTTTTGATTTGGGTATGAAAACATTTAAACACACACAATTACTTATCCTCTATAGTAGAAACATTTTTGCTATCACCAATTGCAAATGTGTATTTAGTGTTTAAGGATGTATGTTACTTTTACAGACAGCATAAAGAGATACTGCAAAGCATAATCTATCCTCTCTTAAAACCGACCGCTGAGATAGGTAGGATGAATCACACCCAGAGGTCCCAACCTGCCCTGGATGGTTGGTGCAGCATCACCTCCACACTCATCACCCTCCTTTGTCTTTCAGCTCCCGGAGGAGTATCGTTAGTTGTCCCACAACCCAACATCAATGCAACAGTGGCACAAAACATCCTCCTCTCAGTTGAATACTCTTGCAGAGGCATTGCCACCATTGAGTGGAAGCATGTGTCAAGCTGGGGCACCACCAGCATCGTTGAGTGGAAAATTGGGAATTATGTCAACATATCCACAGTCTACAAGGACAGAGTGACTACTTTTGAAAATGGCTCTATACAGCTTCACAACGTGGGCATGCGAGATGCTGGCTACTATTTTGTCACTGTAACAGAGGAGTATGGAAACAACGCCTACGGCACCATCATAGTCAATGTTTACGGTACAAACTAGATGGGACTTCTTGGCTTTACCCTGTGTTTAAATACCAATCTGTTTGTAATCAATTTTATAATATTATTTTTTTTCCATTCTCCCTACAGAAATTATCTATGAAGATTTACATTTTGTAGCAGTTCTCTTTGCCTTTCTCGCTGCAGTATCTGCCATTCTGATCTGCTTCATGTGGCTGTGTAATAAATCTCTGCATCTGTTTCAGAAGAAGACACACAAACTCACAGGTATCTCTCTAAGAATGCAGTCAAGGTATAGGGGTTTCAAGTCTGAAGTTTGAGCCTAAAATTTGTGCCATAAGCGTGCTAATTAGGGACACTGAGAAACAAGACTGAAGGGCTCAAAATCAGTTATCCTGTTCTAACTCTTTACTAGCTGAGGCAACTGAATAACAGGTGTTTAGTTGCAGAACAAGCCACAGGACATCTACCTCATACACTTCACATCAGAAATAATAAAACAGTTACCAACACTGCTTGATTGCGAAACCTGGGGAGAAAAGGCAAGAGCTGCAATAACCCCCCTATCAGAGGGCAGGAGACAAAGTCAAGAGCATCAGCAATTCTTTCAGAGTTCACACCAGAAGAGTATGTCCTAGGGGAAAATAATCAAACAGCCCTTGGGAGTGACCCTCACCTCAGTTCATGAAGGACTGCACCTCTCCCACTCCTCTCAACCCCCCCCTTCATCTGTCCTCACCTTTGATCCTGTTGCAGACTGCAACAAACACTGACTAATATCAAAACCAGACTCCTGACACACACCGAAGACAACAGTCATGAAAAGCAGGTCAAGGGAACATGAGGGCTGCACTGAAGGGAACATTCACATATTAGAGAAGAAATTTCCAAGCCACCGCCAGGGATATTTGCCCTAGGCAGCAAGACAAGATGCCACTCTATGGACCTGGGATCAAGCTCTTTAGGTGCATCCTTGGAATGGGAGGTTTCTTTTACAACTTCAAAACATTCCAGATGTTTACCTCCATACTTTGTAAGTGCAGATCCACTAGTGGTTTCTTGCCCTGTAGGTAATAGGTCTGTATTTCTTCTCTAATGAGTGCTGCTTAAGCTTTTACATTACAACAAGCAGCATAGCTATCAGGATTTTACTAGACTAACAGATACTTGAGCATCCTAAGCCTCATGGCCCAGACTTTGTGTCATCTCTGCAAAACCTGATAAAAGAAGAAATTAATTTGGCTTGAGCTGCCTATTCCTTTCTGTCACTCACATACAGCTCTTAAGGGCTGCTGCTGTTTTCATGGTACACACACCATTCACAAGGTTCTGTAGCTACTGAAAATTTTCCTATCATGCCAGAAAATATAGGCTTTTGTTGGGATAAAGCCTCTTCCTTCAGTTAAAGCTAATCTTTCTACAGAGCTGAATTGAATACAGTTATTCGGCAGAGTTAGGAAAACTACAGTTCCAGAAACTTGTCGTGTCATCTCCCAGAACATGGTCCAAAGCAAGGACCTAACTTCTGCCCCAATTCCACCTCAGAAGAGCCCTCCTTACAGAAGTTAGGAAGAGAGGTATAAGGATGGGCCCTCTGGACTTAGGTGTTCATAGTACCTTTAGCCTTGTACTGGAAGAAACCAGTGTCACTTTAAAGATTGTGAGGGCCTCTTTATGCAGTTAAATATTTTGAAAAGATGTATTTAAAACCTGACTGTAGATGAGCAGGCTTGAGCTAATATTAAAAATTTCAAAATATCTCAGCTATTAGCACAACACATATAATTTTGGAACATTGGCCTTCCAATCCATTCGCCAATCAATAACAATATGCTTTTATTTACAGCAAGTACAACGGAAGAGATTGAATTGGAAACCATTGAGTGTTAGCCAAGGACTGTATCATAGCAAAAATAACGATTCTACCTCAGGAGAAAACACTGACCAAGAAAGCAAGAACAAACCTAGAAGGTAAAATGTTTGTGACTACTGCAGAAACATCCTGACTTGCAATTTAATCAGCAGTGTCTGATGGAGCTGTTTTGACCTGTTAAGTTTTCGGTTCTGCTAGTCAAGGTCACATTAAAAAAGAGAATGCTTTCATGCTAAGCATGAACACGTTTTTGTGGCTAACTAATAAAATCTACAGCCTCTACCACTCTTAAAAACAACCAGCCAACCAAGCAACCAAGCCTCTAAGACCAACCCATAAAGGAAATTATCATGGTCTTGAAGGACACCTGTATTTTGGATACAGCAAGTCTCCTATTAAGACAGAGTGGTCATTAGCATTCTTCAACATAATAAATTTAATATCTAATTACAGTATTACATTAAAAATTAATTGCAAGCATTGAATCCTGTTTATTGCAGCTATGCTGCTACTTTCAGGTGTAAGGAACTTCCTGAAGCTCTGAAGACAAACTGTAATTTTTCATAAGACAAAAGTGACTTGGAAAGAATGCCGAGCTGGTCAAAGTTCTCCCGCTTATGTTTGCAATTGTTTACACTGCCCCGGAATGGATATTAACACACATTTTATGACATTACTAGAGCAGGTGGTTATACAAGGAAGCCTGTGCAGGCACTAAAGAGGACGCTGTCTACAAAGATATGAGGGGTCACAAAATACTGATACACCGCACCAGTGAGGTGGCAAAGTACTAAACAGTTTTGTTGTGAAAGATGTCCAGTCCTTTGCAAACTTAGCCCAGCGACAAACAGTCTGAGAAGAAAAGTTAGAACAGCATTACTTTGAAATTTAGTATTTACAAATACAGTTCTGAAATTGCTCTTGTTGAGAAGCCACCTTTGCTTTCCCCATGTTCAAAGAAAAAATGAAGTGATCCAACTAATGCTTTCTTGAATGTGCATATTGCACTAAATGCGATCCTCCACCTGCAGATCTGTTGCAGGTGGCATAACATTTGCGTTTGTCAGTGAGAAAGCAGTAAACTGACCAAGCTTCAAGTTATTTTGTTTTGCTTTTGTAATGAGAATTTTGCAGTGTGAAATAAACTTTGAAAATGTAAGAGACCATGGACTAGTCTGTGCCTGTAGATTGCCATGTGGCTGTTTGAGTCAAACTGTTCCTACAACCTCTCTCACTCTTTGTCTCACTTGTTTGCAAAAACCTTTTACAGGACAGACTGACAGAGCTTCCCCTCTGGTCAGGGACTAGGATGACCAGGTGCAGAGGTACTATGGGTTCCATTTGGAAAAACTCTCAGAGAATTTCTCACCAAGTGAAAAACGATGCAGGTAGGTGTCAAACAAGCTTTTTTCCAAAGCACCCTGTACACAATACCTTTAAGTCATCCCCAGATTGAACTGGACATTTGTAGTACAAGGGCCTCTCTCCCACTCATAAATTCAGGTACTAGATTCAGCTGTTTGTTCTTTCCTGCATTTAGGAGAACAGGTCAAAAAAGGGAAGAAATTAAATTTTAAAGATCTCAGATACAGCACAGATGACTGACAGTTTGTTCTAATTTTCTGTTTTAAATGTGTATTACCAATCTAAAGTATCTTTGAGTGCACTAAGCTTTGACAACAGAGAAACTCTTTAAGTGCATCTGTTTCAATCACCAAGCTTGAAGTACTTGGTGAAGTATACTTATAGCATATGGAAAACATTATTGGGTTTTTTTCTGTTTACCTATTCCATATTTTTTTATTCCCTAAATCTTAGAATTTGAATGTGAAGTTATTAGGCTGAACTGAATATGTAGTAGGTCCTCTGCCAGACTTATTTAGAAAGTACAAAAAGTGCAGCGTGCACTTAAACACCATTATTATCTGCTAACATTGCCCTGAACACTCCAATTGCCAAAGGAAGTCAGGAAACACATCCAGACATGGATGACCGTCTTTCAAGTGCATTGCTGTGATTGTAGGCACACTTGTAAACTACAATATTTGAAAGCTAGGATGAAAGTAGGAAACGACCACTTAAAATTCTTCAGTTTAAGATGTACTACAACAGCAGTAACAAGTTTCCACCTGGCACAGTTGTTCTACCTCTCTTAGCTTGGCCAAAGTCACTGCAACTTCAGGCACCTATTCTTGGCTGTTGACCGTGGTGCTAACCTCGCTTTTAGGCAGTAATATCCCAGATGAACAACAGGGACTCAACATTCACTGATGACATCCAGTACAGTTAGCCTATGTACAGCTTTCCTTATAGACAATTCCTCACTCACAAATTTTACCCAGAATTTAACATGCTTACCGTACACATGTAGGGTCTTTTATAAAATATTAACATTTTTCTGAAAATTATGTTTGTCAATATGCATTATTAATGCCAGTATTATTTTATGTACAGAAGGTGAGACTAAGCTGTCTATAGCAGTTTCTTGCTACCCTGGAGCATCTAAAGCCTCATGGCAAGTTGTTACAGTAGAAGTTCAGAAACTAATAGCTATTGTTACTCCTCTTGTAAACTCCCTGCAGAACACCAGCGAATTTAACATTTAGAGCATTCTAGATGATCAAAGGGGTTAAGGCATTTTACTTTTAAACTAATTAAAGAGATGTTCAAGTTCACAAGATTGCTTTGGCAATCAGTAGTAAAGGTCCTAATCATTCTCTGTCTTCATCTCATATTCAAAGATGCACTACCAATTTTCAAGACTGTCCCTCTGTTAGAGGCCTAATCAGTCTGTTTTCCATTAAAATTAGGAATCTCTATATATTCAACACTAAAATACAAATGCTCCAGGTCTCTAAGAATTCTTTTGTTGTTGTTGTTATTCTTATTTTTTCAGCTAGACGTGGAAGTCTTGACAAATGTTTTCACTGCTAACATGCGGTGCTTGCACTTCCACAACACATTAGATGTCCTCTTGCATCCGTTATTTCTTTTCAGGAGACAAGTCCTGCAACCATGAGATTCTAATAGCTCCGTAGTGATCTGATTACATGGTAATGAAGAACTTACCTAATGAAAAGGCTATCACTACATGCAGACCTGTCAATTTAGGTTAACAACAGTGAAGTGTAAAGACATGTTCAAGTTTCATAGACTCATCTTCTAATTATTAGTAAGGAAAGATCTGTTGTGTTGGCAGGAGTCAAAACAGCCTCATACAGTTGGATGCATCAGGCTGTTGGCTGAACTGTTCACCAAGAAACAAAAGTCCTCCCTGCCTGTAGTGGTGCAGTGTCTACTAGCCCAGCAATACAGGACGTGACATGATGGGTGTTAAATAAGATTCACCCATTTTTCAAGAAGATCAGGAGACTATTTTCTACTAGTATTTTTCATTTTCATCAGTTGTCTTGGGCAACTCATCAGAACCTGAAAGGAAAACTGTTTCTCTCTCACAGATTAGTTACACAGAAGCCAGTACATCCAGGAACTGAAACAAGATGCTCCATGCTGGCAAACATCAAGAGAACTACAAGAGCTGCTTTGGATACACACTGAGCAGCAGCTTGCCACAAGCAGTTGCTTAATATGTATTTCCCAAAACTATTCATTATTACTTGAGAGTACAACAAAATAATAACTGTCATCATAGAAGTATGAGGTTCAATTCAAACATGTTTATGTGCAAGAAATTCTCATATATATATACATATATACACACACACCTCATAACACAACATGGAAATGAATCTGAACCAGTTCATACAGACAGGTTTCAAAAAGACCTTTAGCAATTAAGTACCAAACAAAATAAAAGCTTTGTTAACACCTTACTAGAAGCTTCAAGGCTACAACTACCAAACCAAAACCATCAAACCCATGACTTTTTTTATTTTGAAAGAACTCAAAAGAGCCGATATTCAGGAGGATATTATTGTTTCCCTGGACAATAATCATTGAGAGTGCAGGATAAAAACCCAGCAGCACGTGTGGAGATCCAAGGTTTACTGCATGAGAGTTACCACCTTCTATCCAGACATTAATTTACACAAATGACTCACAAACTCAAATTATCAGAATTTTGCAAGCAGAGTAAGATCTTTCCTCTATATTCTTGCAAAAAAGAGAGACAGAAAACACAAGCTGTGACTTAGTAACACTCTCAACTTAAACTAACTGCCAAGTAAATATATTTCTCAAAAATAAATGGGTCACCCAGAATCCCCATCAATTTACAAACAATCCAACTCAAGAATGCCACACAGTGAAGACGTTACCTTGATCTTAAGTATTGTTTAGCTTCAATTCTTGACACAACAGCTCTGCTTCTACTGTTGTCCCACTTCTCATCAAACAAGGCCATTAGCATCCACAGGGATAGCCAGGTTCTGTGGTATAAGCCACTGAAAGGCCCACTGAGAGCCCAATTCAGTTCTAATATTTTTAATCTTTCAAAAATACTTGCAAAGATCTATTGAAAAAAATAAGGGCATGAGAGGAAAGGGAATGATTCCAAGCAGACACCTTTCATGTAGTAAAAGGAATACTGAATTTAATTTTATAAACAAAAAATACGTTAGTTACTCAGTTATGTAACACTGGACAGAGCAATCAGCAAAGACACAGTTGAGCGGAACTTTTTCAAAAAATTATATGTATTTTATATGCCATTGAAAAAAGTTTTATTACAAACTCCACAATGGACATATCTGTACAGGAAATAAATTTGGTTTTGCTTTCTTGTATTGGCCCATAGCTTCCATTTCCCTTTGCTGCAGGGGCAGTGATTGTTGCACAGAGACTATTCAAAGCCCCCACAGAGAGGCCGACGCATCATTAGCAGGGAGTTAGGGCAGCCATGAGCAGTTCCATTTTATACACAAAGTTACGCCCTTCCATTTTATTCCACTGAACTTCCTTGAATGGCCCTCGGAGATGATTCCACTTGCTGTCTTGCAGTACGTCGCCTTTTGGGAGATCCTTGCACTGACTCCGTGGGAACTGAACCATAACTTTGCTGCCACTTTCCGGACCGTTACGTACTGCAATGAACAGAGATTTTAATGAGCATTTTTACACTGTACGAATTCCTCCTATTAAATATTCTTTCTTGTGTATACTATACATTACTCCTACTCAATTCCAAGCATGCTGAAAGCAAACAAGGAAAATTCTTTTTTTTTTTAAAAAGCTTTTTCTTTTAATTTTCTCTCTCTCATCTCCCAGTTCTCTACGATTTTGTTGTTTAGCACTAACTGTTTAACTGGATCTAATTCTGGTTAGATTAAACCAGAGATACATTTGATAAAACCCCCACACATACACCTTATAACCACATTTCTTTTTCCCTAATGATACCAGGAAGGGCAAAGGTTATTATGCTCATTCTTTCCTTGCATGTATTCCAACTATTCTTTGAAAAATGTGAGCAAAAATGTATTGTTTCTAGTGCATTTATCTCAAATGGACAGGGACAAAGTCACTAGCATAGTTGTTGTTTTTAATCTCAAAATTCTGCAAGACTGGTGGAGGGGTGGTGGTGTTTTGTTGGTTGGATGCATTTCTGTGTTTTGATGCTGGGTAGTGGTGTGTGTTGGCTTTTTAAATAGCAGTTAGGGAGGCAACACTTAGCTTTCCCCTCATTTACCAAGCCAGCCTTCTACAGATGAGTGTAAGGCTGATTGAACATAATTTCTCCTTCATAAATTGATGCCAATTACTCTCAGTCACCACCTTCTATGGAATATGTTTGGAAACTTCTGGGACCGGTTTTCCCCCCTTATCTTCCCAGTAATGCAATGAAACCGATCAGACTGCAGTTCCCCCACATTCTCCTTCTTGAATATAGGATGTGACATCTACCTTCTTCCAGTCCTCAGGAATCCTTCCTGATCACCACGGCCTTTTAAAGATGATGAGGAGTGGCCTTACAAATAACATCAATCAGCTCCCTCGGCACTCATGGATATATCCCACCTGGTCCCGTGAACTTGTCAATGTCTAAGTTTGTTCAAAGGTTCTCTAGCTTGCTCCTCTGCTACTGAGGCTGTCTTTGCTCCAAAATTTCCCATGGGTCTCATGGACCCATTCCTAAAGGCCAGTCTTAAGACCAAAGCAAAGAAGGTACTGAGTACCTTGGCCTCCTTCATGTCCCGTGCCACCAGGTCCTCTGCCCATTTGAAAGGAGTCCCACATTTTCCCTAATCTTCCCTTTGCTGCTGCCGTACCTGCTCAAACTCTTCTTGTTGCCCTGTACACCCCTCAGGACCTTAGCTTTCCTATCCTTGTCAATGCATGCTTGGACAGCCTCTCTCTCTCCCAGGTCAACTGGTCAGGCTTATAATCTCTTGCAGCTTCTTTTCTATTGTCATAAGTTCAGTCATGAGCTCCCTGTTCATACACACAGATTTTCTGTCACCTTTGCAAAACTGCCAGAACATAGGTATGACCATTCTTGAGCTTGAAAGAAGTCATCCTTGAAAAAAATAAACAACCAGCTCTCTTGAACTCCTCTTCTTTCCATCCCACAGGATCATATATCCTGTAAGATTCTTTCCCAAAGATCCCTGAAGAGACCAAACTCTCTTCTCCTTAAGTTCAGAGTTGTGATCCTGTTGTTTACCTTTCCCCCTCCCTTCAGGGTCATGATGGTTTCTGTAATCTCCTGGTTTTATGCTAACTGTCAGAAATATTTTCAAACTTGTGTAAATTAAATCAAGTTTATATTAAGTGGATTCCTGAGGAAAGTATTGATTCTATGCAGATGTCAATTCCATACACAAAAGAAATAGTTTGTACACTTGTATAGAATAGTATCAATTTATAGCAAAATGCTTCACAAAAAAACCTCAGAAAGAGACTTGTAAAGCCTGTAGATCTCACTTAAGAATTCTATGACTTGGCATGCATTTGCAATAGGAATACTACCTGAAATGGCATAGTCTCCATTTGGTGATGCTACAGTTATTGCTGACGCATTGCCAATACTCTCCACTGGCCCCAGACCAACATGATTACTGAAACTCAGCACGTGCCATCCCATAACTTTTGCAAGCTGCTGAACTGCATGTACTTGGTGCTGTGACATCTGAAAGATAACAAGAGGTTCGCCTTCTGTTCAGTATTTGCACACCACAGGAAGAATTGCTTAGTGAGTTTACCAAGCCTTTTTTCTTCTATACAATAATTATTTATAAAAGTGACTTTGTATTTTAAGTTCTCTACTTTAGAGGAACTTTTTTATTTTTTACATGTATGCTGGTAGAGCTTTGTGTTATTTGAATTTAGACTACTTCCTCTGCAGATAGAGGAGACCACTGTATTTTTCAATTAGATGAATTTTTCATAGGCATATGGGTTTATGCAATTTATTTAAATATTGCTTTCAATTTAGAAATACCTGTATTTAGGTCTCAAAAACTAATTCAAGGGATTCAAACATGATTTTTAAACAATTCTGTCTGTGAATAAAAACAAGACTTCTGCTGTAAAATATATAAAAATCTTAAAAGTATCAGAAGAAACAATTCAGAAAAAAAAGTTGAGGTTCTCGCATCCATGATTATCTCCATTAATGCTCAAGTGTAAGCACTGAGCTTTAACAGCTTAGGAGTTTAAATGCTACTGTTTTTCTGTATTATGACTTAACACTTGTAACAAGGAACTATCTAGCACTGTTCAGCAGTTCTCTGTGAACAAGTCTGACAACACTTGCCCAAAAAGACATGCCCTCAGCAGAATCTGTTTCAACCTGTTTTCTGTGTCGTGGAGTTTTATATAACTGCAACAGGCCAACCACTATTATTAAAGACCTGTATTTTGACTATTTATAATGCATAGTAGGGAGATTGTTGCTTCTGAATAAAACCAGCAGCTTGTTCTAAGCAATTAAGTAAATACAGTTCATTCAAATATCAGCTGATGTAGTAATGACTGATGCAAAGTGAGCACTAACAGACAATGTTGAAATGACAGTAATTGTGGGCTCATTAAGAACTTGGTTACAATAAGTTTCACATATAGGATACCTTACTGTTTGTTATGAGTCTCACTGACTTGCTTCTACCATAATGAGCAGCATAAAGAAATGTATTTTAAATGGGAGGGAAAAAATCATTATTACTACTGACCTTAGTAAAAACTGGCATTATATTTTAGTAGCAGTTGCTGAAGTCACTATACAAACATAGTGAAAATTCAGTAATCCACCTTCCCATTTTCACTATCTTTATTTGAAGTTTTTAAATATTTTCTATACAGATAAAGGTGAGATTCTTCTGTTTTTCAAACAGTACAAGAAAGGGAAGAATAATGTGTATGAGTCTACCTGAGATAAAAGGAAATCCTGCAGTTCTTGCTCTTGATGGGACAATGTAATAACTCTTCCGTCTCTATGCACAACTCTGATTTGTTCAACTCCAATGTTCAGCTGTAGCTGAATGGATCTTTGAAGATAAGAGGCATATTTATTCAAAATGCACTACAACACTAAAGAAAACAGGAAACTAAGAACACAGAATCCCCCCAGTCATTGACAAGAACTCTTAAGATGGATGGTGCAAAGCCTACGGAATGTGACAGCAACTCCAACCATTTCAGTTTCATCACTCATCACAACAGCTCCCTCTATACTGCAGGGGACATACTCTGTGGCGTGTTCCCAGACCTGTCCCACTGCTTGTTCAGGTCAAGGAAGCCTCACAGTTCCCTGCCTGCCACTGTTGCCCAAGTTTCCTTCCAGAGGTGCAGGGAAAATGGTGTGTTCTATACTAAGCCAAGACTTGGGCAGCATATGCATTCTGGAACCAAGACCGGCAATTGCACCAGTGACAGCAGTTTGCCCCACACTGTGCACACAGAACACTGCTCCAAATGTAAAAAACCACTGTCAATGCATTAGTTAATTTACTGCTGGTCAGCATCCAGACATTTGTTTCTGGAATACGACATTACTTATTTTGATACCAATGTGCATAACTAATTGCATGAATTACATGAATTCCACATTTCAGTACCTATACCACCAAGCTAGGACTGAGGACTGATTAGCTTTCCATAAGGAGCCTGGAAGTTTAGAATCCAGCATATCAAATGATACTTTGTATTCAGTCATCTCTACCAAAAGTAAATCCCCCCCTTAAATGGCCACTCTCATTTCTATTTTCTTCTTTGAAAGGAAAGTGTGCTAATTAAAGATGTAATACATTTCTTCATTAAAGTACAAAGTGGGTGAAGAGTTTTCTTAGGGTGGCTGCTCACCCCACAACTCAGACAAACAGACACACACAAATAACGGACTCCTACTTGTCTGTCTGAGAAGAATCTAAACCTTTAAAGCACAACTTGGATACACATTCTCTGCTGCATGCTTCTACCAGTAAAAAGAGACATGCATTCTCATACTTACTTGCAGATCTGCTCATATCCTTGAGAAGTTATTAGAACTTTAACACTGGATTCATAAACATCATTTATATTGGACCAGTGAGCCTGAATCTGAGGATCCTCGATACGACTCGCCAGACTGTCAATGGTTCGAGCAGTTCTAGAAGATAAAGCCATATCCCACACACAATGATCTAGACAGTTTGTGCTGTTCTCTTGTTTAAAGGAACTGAGTAGGTTATTCCATTTAAGGGAACCATGTGGATCAGAGCTCTATTTCAGCACCATTCTGGTGCTAATGAAGGCCACTTGTTTATTATGTACATTTCTCAAGCATTCAGCAGCCATATTAAAGCGGTATTACTCAGTATCAACTATTGCATTGCAAAGAATATGGAAAAAGATATTTTATGCAGTTTAAGATAAGTAGGGACAATTATCAGCAGCGTATGTCCTAACTGTCACAGCAATCTCAAAAAAATCTGACTTTTTTTTTTTACTAGCTGAGTGTTGTTTGCTTGTATTTTATCGTTTATTATTGTTTCTTAGTACTTGCAAATAAAGACTATTTTAACTGTGAAGGAAACAGTGCCTAATTTTAAGAACACTTAAAAAAGATCAATTGCATTCTACTTAATGGTACGTTTTATTGTAACTTTAAACAAGAAGAGCATGTGACCTACCTGCGTCTCAGAAAGATATGTTTTGCCTGTTTTATTATCTTTTCTAGAAGTCCTTCATTCGACTGTAGACAACTGATATCATTTTTATCAAAAGCCTGGGGTCCTGCAAGTCTCATTCTCTTATGGCCAAAAGGTGCACTAGCTGGATGTGGCATTACTGTCGAGCTCAGGGTTTGCTTGTGACACTGAAACAAACAGATGTTATAAAATGAAGTGACCAAATAACGTATCTGCAAGAAATACTACATATACAATATGCTGCTTCACATCAGGTTTTTTAAGTTTACATACTTTTAACAGTGCAACATTTTAACTTTAGAAACTTGACAGCATTTTAAAGCCAACTTTATGTGTGTCTTTCAAAACTTCTGGAAAGTGATTTTTTTTTCTTTTTGAAAAGTGCTAGCTAACCAAAATTTGGAACCATGCCTTTAATACATCTCTGGAGACAGAAAGAATGGTCAAGTAAAAACAAAGGAAGCATTGTAGAGGAAAAAAAACTGAGGTACAAAAAGTTTTAGCAACCTGTCCAAAGTAAAGAAAGGAAATTCACAGCAGAGCTGGGCACTGAGTCAAAGGTCCATGAAACCTAAATCAGCATTTAAAACACTGGACTATTCCACATGGCTGCATGACTTGCAGAGCCATGCTCTAAGAGATGAACACTCACTGGAATATGGTTTCAACTCTGCTCAGACATGCAAAATTGCGCTCCTTTCCTGAACAGACGCAACCTCAACCTTCTACCCTTGGTCATTTTGCTAGATTATACAAGAATATTAAACACTGAAGCAGAGAAGTGGATCTTAAAAGAAGCAAAGCTATTACAATAATTGATTGTTCTTCCTTCATGGGGATACAGTCTGACTAGATGCTCCCTCACAGTGCTTGCCAAGCATTAATCAGACACAATACAAAAAGGGAGACTGATGAGCTCTAGTGGAAAAGCTTTGCATGACTATTCTGAAGTGAGCAGCCAAGCCTGAGGTTAAGTAAAGAACTAGCATTCCATGAAAGCATGAAGTGGAACTACTGAACCACCCACACCCATTGAAACCGAGCATAGGTTGCCTTATACAAATGGATGGGAAGAGACTGGCCTCTAGCGGCACTCGGCTGTTACATCAGTGCCGCACACCAGGCAAAAGACTGAACAAATGCCCAGAAACTGTTCAGTGTTTGACCATAAATGCATTTATTACCTCTCTGATAAGTTGATGCAAATTATGTTCCAGAACAT